GTGCAGAGAGAGGCGAAGTGACCAACTGAGTGATTGAGAAGCAAGTGAGAGAGAAGCATCTGACTCCGCCCGTTTTATGCTCAGTCGAGGGACTTGTTAAATGTTCCAGCAAACTGAGTACGTGAAGGTTTCCTGATTCCCAGGCGGAGCAGGTGAGTGTGGGAATGAAGCGAAAGTGGTTCAATTCGCTACAGTTATATCGAGAACAAATAGCATATACGAACAAAATATTTGGAATTGTACACCAATACAATACAGTAAATGTTTGAAGTTGTAAAAACTGTATGCTTTTTAACCATTAAACTATCCAAGTAAACTTAATTTCATAAAACTATTTTACTGAGTTTATTGCATGGTATTTCACATAGTGCTGATAAAATATTGAGATATTTCAATAACTTAAAATCCTGAGGACATAGAAAAATTCTGACTATGTTTTTGAAATCAGCACCATCAGATTACTTTGAATCACTTGAGTTTTCTCCAGTATCAATTTTTTTATTGTTCAGTGTAATCAAGCACACTACATTGCTGTCATATGTAACACAGCTAACATACATTAAGTGAATTACTCAATATTATAAACCGTTTTTGTTCGAATTACAAATTTTGTTTCTCACCTTCCTTAGTTCAGTGACGTTTTTACATTTTATACATTCATACATCACATATGTCATTTTAAACAAAATAACTTTCAGTTGTTTTTGATAAACTTGAGCTCGCTTGTTGACACACTTTACTGCAATGAGTGCAGTAATCCTCGTGCTGTGTTATTGAGAGGTGGAAACATTTCTATGCTAGTGTCAATCAAAATGACAATTTTGTGTGTCAAACGGAGTAACAACGGCCAAAATCCAAGCTTGAAAAACAGCTTAACAAAGCTTTTTTGTGTAATAAATCAATTTTAGCTAAGAAGGTTTTGAAAACAACTGTCAGCCTTAGTCATAATATCGGGAAATAATTGGTCATAACTCTGTGGTCTAATAGAGTCTTTCAATACTGATACTTTATTAAATAAAACAGTGAAAAGAGATTTCTCCATGTATAGTCACTATTGGGCGTTTTCTTATTTCTGTGCATATATAATCTACATTCAGACTATGGAACCAACAAAATTAGCTAGTCAAACTGATTTATGATCTCGAAGCTACTAATGTTATCCTTTCAGATGGCATTAGAGAAACTTTCATAAAACTAAGAATTCCTCACAGAGGAATATTTTAAAATGTGTACACACTGTATAATGCTTATAGGCCCGGCATGGCCAGGTGGTTAGGGCGCTCGACTCGCAATCTATGGGTCGCGGGTTGACCTCAAAAACTAAAACCTAACGTCAAAGAAGTCACAGTTCTCAGCTAATGATATTATTGGTTTTGGAATCACAGTGTGAGTTCATATTTTCTATTTCAATCAAACACCAAAGAGAGAAACGGATGCTTCAGCCAGATAGAAAGCCTCAAATATCCAATCTTACTGAAAGAGGTCAATAAAGTATTCAAAAAACATTAGACTAAATATTGTAATGGCTGGCTGTTAATGGTAAACGAATAGTTTCCCACAAGACGTGTTGTTTGTTACCCCGCCGTGAATTTTACTGGAAATTAAGAAATGTTGGCAGGTTTTTTGTTTCATAATTCGTAGTATTGCTCCTAAGTACCTAACTAACATGGAGTTTTGGACCTAATCATGTTCTCGGATTTTTGAGTTTTTTATTAGATACTGCTAATATTCATTTCCAGTCTGTACATTTTACGGTTCGATGTTTTGTGTGGAGTTAATATTACATGCACAAGCGATCACAGATCTTAAGGTTATTACTTAAGTGACAAGTGATTACGAAAAGCATCTCCTAACACAACTTTAGATTCTTTTATTTTCTGACAATGGGGGTGGAGGGTTTCTACGGTCTATGCTGGACCGGCCATTGAGTTGTTTTTAAAGAGCATATTCTTGCGAAATTTGAGAATTCATCAAGCATTAAACAACATATTTTAACGACATGTCATCACTATCACAACTGACAACTTCGTGATAGTTAATCACGTTGAAGATGTGCAATAACTGAAAATTCGTGAGAGTTTGGCAATTACATATTCGAAGCCAAAATTAGACCATCAAAATTCAGCGACACAACTTATGTTTAAGATGTAAACCATTAATATATATATACTTCTTATGTATGCTACTACCTGCTTCAGCTGGTTTACAAGCTGTGTCAGTGACTGCAGGCAACTGTGGAAAGTTCATATCTACATCGCCTGTTTCAATTAGTCATCCACATCGATCTTTTTCGGTTTGGACAATTAGTTGAAATGTTTTAGTTGTTTCATCAATTCGAGCATGTGTTGTGCGATAGCCGAACCAGTTTCCATATTTTATACGAGAACTGCCCCACAGGAATTACAAATAACACTGATAATTTTCATATAATTCCCTAAAGGAAACCTTGTGTTGGTAACTACCATGTCCTATAGCATCCGCTGCTTTAACGGACCATTTGTTATTTCTACAAGTCCACGTACTTTTGTGGTGAGCTTTTAAAATTTGGATTCCTCTTTAAAATGTTGATAACACGCCTTTTGAAGAAATAATGACATTTTAGTTTTCAAGCTGTTTATGAAGGAAATATTCTACCCACAACGACTATATCTTGTGGTTGTACTGAGGTGCGAATATTTTAAATATCTTTTCAGAATATGTGATGAGTACCTGCTACATCAGTATGTCGCCCATTATCCAGATATGGACTAAGGACAGACATAGTGTGCTCATAACTATATACACAAATCATTTGGTTTGATAAAGGGATGACGCTTATGTATACAGTTTTTCACCTCTAGAGCCATACTTGAGACTTTTCTGTGCATACACGTACTTACCATGTAAAACTAAGTTTATAACTCTGTTATTCCCATCTGTGAAAAGGTCCTGTGCAAGGGACCGACTATCGTTAAGTGCCAGTTTTTAGACTGGTACATTCCAGCTAAATCCAAGATGCAGACGAACAAAATTGCTCACCAACACTGAGTACATTGCCCTTTTTACAGAAAAACTATTTTTGAAACCCAGACTAGTACATAACATTCTCAAGTGATAAATCCAAACAGTTTTTCACAGATTTTATAAGGGTATTCTTCAAAGGAGGAATCCTAGAAGATAAGTCATCACACTGAGACTTGATCAGATAGTATGTGAGACTCAACACAGTCTGTTCCACCTAATCCCCTTTGATACCACTCGTGTATTCTCTTACTAAGGTATGGTTTTTCATGTTTGCATTTATCGCCTGCCACGAGTTGGGTACAAAATGCTGAACCCCAGCAGAGATGACATTCATAACAACTACTTGAGTTCATGGTTCAGATGGTACATCCGTCAGCCGAGTACATTTTAGATAAATAACAAATTTGACACGACTGCTGCTTATTTAACTGATGTTATGTCTTAAATGTTTAGGATTTGTACAGCTCTGTTTGCTCAAGGATGCATCAGGAATGGAATGTTTTTAGAGAAGCAAAGCTTCTATCACTTCTATCAGTTTCATTTTCATCAGGCGTGTAACATTCAAAATAATAACACTTTTGGTGGTATTTGATACAAATGACACTATCTTCAGTAGGAGTTTTTTCTCTTTCTTTGAAGACAAATTATTAGTTCATCATTATGTTGTCCTGATATGTGCCTTCTCTCTCTCTTTAGGCCCATATTTCCCATGACATATGGCTCGCTTGTATTCCTTTGGAATGACTGAAGGATGTCTTGCTAACATTGTTTTAGATGAGCATTAGAAATTATTCAGTGAACAATGTGGCAAGATATTATTAGTACCATAAAAATGTCTAAATCTTCTTATTTTTAATGTGTAACCATATGATCGTCTCTATTGAGAAAGTTTCAACTTCATTGCCTGATACGCAGAGTAAACATAAGATTAGTGTAGGAAACACTCACTGATAGTCATTTACATGTTGTATCTAAAAATAAAAGGTTTGAACAGTTCAAGTATGAGAAAAAGATGGATTCTGACATTTAACATAGACAATAGTTCGTAGGACAAAATAGCCAACGTCATCTTTAAACAATGTCATCTTCTAATCACATCACATAACTAACCAATATTCGCCCTTTCAGCCGTGGGGGCATTATAATGTGACGGAATACACTAATATTTACACTAGTATTTAGTAATTTTTCGTTGTTTCTCTTTTATTCCTTTATTATTGTTTTGAATTTCGCGCAAATCTACTCGAGGGCTATCTGCGCTAGTAATTTCTAATTTGGAAGTTATAGTCTGGACCCGTGGTGCGCAAACTGTGAAGTGAGCCCTCAAATGGAAGCGCGAACTACGACAATAGGTTTGTTTGTTTGTTTTGAATTTCGCGCAAAGCTACTCGAGGGCTATCTGCGCTAGCCGTCGCTAATTTAGCATTGTAAAACTAGAGGAAAGGCAGCTAATCGTCACAACCCACCGCAAATTCTTGGGCTACTCTTTTACCAACGAATAATGGGATTGACCGTCACGTTATAACGCCCCCACGGCTGAAAGGGTGAGTATGTTTGGTGTGACGGGGATTCGAACCCGCGACCTAACCACCTGGCCATGCCGGGGCCTTACGTGAAGTATTCAACTTTATCAAATTTATCTCTTACCATAACTTTCTAAAATTGTTTTTTTTTAGTTAAGCACAAAGCTACACAAAGGGCTATCTGTGCTCTGCCCACCACGGGTATCGAAACCCGGTTTCTAGCGTTTAAGTCCTCAGAAATACCGCTGTGCCACTGGGTGCTATATGTTTTTTTTATCTTAAAATAAATTTTACGTTGGTTAGTTTAAGAAATTAATCTCAATAAATATTTTAAGGATAGGTAAAACTGTGTTTGGAAAATTCTAAAACAAGTCATAAAATATACGTAAGATAAACATGTGAATATACAAAAGATATATACAAACTGTAAATATATATATTTTTTTCTCTTTCTTATCTCTTTCCACTAGGTGTCATCAGCAGCTTAAATAATCAGTGATCGTGAAGTAATCAGCAGATTCCTAAAAATGCCAGAACAGAGTAACGACTATCGTGTGGTGGTTTTCGGAGCTGGGGGTGTAGGGAAAAGTTCTTTGGTGCTCATGTTTGTACGAGGAACCTTTCGGGAAAGCTACATTCCTACAATTGAAGACACTTACCGACAGGTGGATATCTGATCATTTTTGTTTCACTTAGTTTTCTATTACCTTGGTTACCACATAACTACTCAATGTTTTAAACATAGGTTATATCTCCGTTATCTCATACTTTATCTCTCCATCAATCTACTTGTACGATATTTCAATTCTGTTACTTCTGACTTTGTTTGTGAAATACATACATAAAATTTCATATTTCAACCATTGTCAAGCGTGAGATAAAGAAGCGCTCTAATCAACTACATTGTAGTAAACCCACTTCCAGGAAAACATAATTTAATCTCCGAGACTCATTGGCCATCACATCTCACGAACCACAGTTTAATCGCCGAGACTCATTGGCCATCACATCTCACGAACAAAGCTCACGTGCAAACCTAAACAAAATCAAAGTTAAGAATTTAGTATGTAAAAAAAATGTAAACTGTTACTTATAAGTGAATGACATTTATAGCATTGGAAACAACGCTTGTAAAACATTATTTATTTCTATATCTAAATTTCAAAACGAATTTCAATATTAGAATGTTTTAAATATGAATCATAAGATTTTCTGTCATTAATATAGTTGTTTATAATTTAATTACAAAGAGGAGACGTAACATTAATACATCTTTAAGTTAAATAACTTTGAATTCACGGTTGTTTCTCTCTCTCTCCTGGTCGGAATTTAGGTCGTTTTACGATCTGGGAGGGTCAGGTTCTAGTAGACCTCTTCCTCCCTTCTGTGCTGGTATTGTATGTTTCTGACTTCTTGGGTTTGGGTTTTGGTTGGCTGGTTTGATTTGATTTGTTGAACTTCTATTGCTACTTTCCTTTTCAGGGCCATGTCCGTTTATGTTTTCAAGTTATATATGTGTGTAACCTTATGTTTGCTTGGTATTTGTGTTCTGTGGATTAAGTGGTAGGAAAAGTAACTGTGGTTCTAGTTGTTCTAGTGCTAAACACTGTTATAATAACTCCACAGAGAATCTATAACAACCTATGCTATAAATGCCATTCACTTATAAGTAACAGTTTACATTTTTCTTACATAACACTGTTATAATAACTCCACAGATAATCTATAACAACCTATGCTATAAATGCCATTCACTTATAAGTAACAGTTTACATTTTTTTTACATAACACTGTTATAATAACTCCACAGAGAATCTATAACAACCTATGCTATAAATGTCATTCACTTATAAGTAACAGTTTACATTTTTTTTTTTACATAACACTGTTATAATAACTCCACAGAGAATCTATAACAACCTATGCTATAAATGCCATTCACTTATAAGTAACAGTTTACATTTTTTTTACATAACACTGTTATAATAACTCCACAGAGAATCTATAACGACCTATGCTATAAATG